CTCCACCATCAAACGCAAACTGGAGATGGGCTTCTACGCCCGAGAGGTGTTCAGGCCGAACGAGCTTGAAGAGCTGTTGGCTCACCTGAATAAAGACTTGCAGGTAAGTTCACCTCAACCCATTGCTCAGCGCCGTCCTGCTGGTGCTGCGTGGTACTGATCCCACTGTCCCGCCGGCCTTCTGTCACCCAGGGGGGCAGCAGCTGTCAGGATGCTTCAAGCAAAGAAACGGAGCAGAAAGACCAGCTTCCAGTAAGAACATGTTACATTTAGGCTTCAGTAATGACAGCGTAGATAAAGCATGTTGTCACCATGCAAACTGTGTTTTCTGTTTGTAATGTGGAAATCAAATGATACTAGGCCTGTCATGATTAACTTCGCTGGACGATAAATTAACTCAGAAGTTATTTCGATAACCATCCGACCCTGCAAATACAAAAAGGTCAAATCTATGGAAACTCTATTGGACACTGTCTGCATTGCCATGCATCAGGACACTTTTCTTTTTGTGATATTATTTATTTTATTTTTTTAGCGTGGCCCTAATACTCTGTCTTACTAACAGGATAGATGTGTTGAAGTTTAAGGTCATACTTCTGCATGCGGCTGTAAATATTAGCACAGACCGGAATAATATGTCCTTTAGTTAACAGCTACTAGCAGTGAGTTCTGTTATTTCTAACCAAGCTGCAGGAAGCGCCAGATGCCAGCGAAGCAGAACCATCCAAAGCCGTCTCCTCACCGAGGGACGATTCAGGCATTAAGACGGAAGTTGACGCTGACGAGGAAGCCAGCGGTACCAACTGGGTGGTGGACAGCTCCGGCTTCCTTTCCCCCACTGGCCCCGCCCTGAAGGAAGTGCTCGACATGGTGGACGGGGTAAGGATCTCCACCGCAGCGGACATGAGTACAAAACATGCCGATCGAGACGAATCATCCCTCTGTCTCACATGCAGGACCTGGACGGCTGGTGCAACCTGGCGGCCTTTGACCTTCCAGAGGACAGCCCCAGCCCTGAGCGCCACCAGTTCCGTCTGGAGGGCTCCGCCCTGCAGGAGCTGAGCAAAGGCAGCAGGGGAGAACTCATCCCCATCTCCCCCGGGGGGATCAGCCCGCCGTCCATCTTGACCCGCCGCAGCCGAAGACGCGTCACACTGTCTCCAGACGGAGCACACTCCATGACGCCCAAGAGCACTCCAGTCAAAATCCTGCCATTTTCTCCATCTCAAGTAAGCTCCTGGCTGCTCAGGTTTAGCAAGTTTTTTAATGAAATATGTGAACTGCATTAATCAAAATGTTTTTATTAGGGATGCACCAATCCACTTTTTTCACTTCCGATGCCGTTATGAGGTTTAGTATCAGCCCGTAGAGAAAAGTAGTGCCGAATTGACTTAAAGTGTTTATTTTTCACAGTGTTTCTTTTAATATGTATAATATTATGATAAATGCAAACATAAATGTAGAGAATTACAAATTCATGTGATAACTCTACACCAGTACAGCACAATTAAAGGGGCAGTATTATATGTTAGTGCCATTTTACAGCACAATTAAGTAACTATGTTACCTTCCGTTGTTAAAAAATGTACATATAAAATATGTCTTAAAAGAAATTTGACTTCATTATTTAACGCTTTGAAGTTGGGCCTCTGTCTCTTTAAAAACTCCTGCTCTTTCTTAAACTCCGTCTTCAGGAAATCATCACAACATGGCTCCTCTAACAACATTTTAACGTTTTTACCAGCATTTCACTCAGAAGTAGCTTCTATAATGAGCTCAGCAGTTCCACCAGGTGTTTGCTAATTGCTGCTGGCTAGTCTGAAGGAGCGGATTGGGGGACTCTGTGAGGCAGAAGCTTGGAAACTTCAGCTCTGAGTAGGAGCTGCACCTCCAAGGCAGAGTTAGGACCACCCACCTGTTTTGCATAATTGAATGGTTGCCATGGTAATTAAAGTAATTCACAAACATACATAGGTATGTTTTTGAAGTCAGGTTAGCATCATAACAAGATTTAAATCTCAAAAAGTTTATTTAAATAATAATATAATGATAAATGTTAGACGAAGCTTCACGAGGTTGGTCAAACGTGTAAAACAACATTAATTTGTTCGGTCAGTGCTATAAAGAATATATCAGCCGATGTAAAATAAATGAATAAACTGACAACAGGTTGGCTATGTTAGTCAAACATGTAAAAAATAAACTGAAAAAACCTTTCAAATGGTTCAGAAAGTGTGATTAAGAATTCTAAACATAATGTAAAATAAACAAATGTGATGTTACTCAGGACACAAAGTGTAGAATCAGACTGAATAGATCTGCTCTCATGGATCGACCACATTGTCACCGATGCCAGTCTAGAATTCTTTTCAATATCAGGACTGATGCAGATATTAATATTGGATCAGTACAGATCTAGTTTTCATCAGTATTGAAAGTGTTGTTTCCGTGACCCGGTACCACTGAGGTCCATATAGTCCGGTCACCAGCTGATTCTCTAAGTGAATGTGTTGTTACGCCGTCTCGTCTAGCGGCCATGTTGCAGAGAGAAACCCAAACAGTTCTGAGGCCTGCTGCTGATTTTCCTGTTTGTTGTTTCAGTTCTTGAACTTGTGGACGAAGCAGGACTCTCATGACCTGGAGAATCCCTCCCTCACATCCACGCCAGTGTGCAGTCAGAAGGTCATAGTGACCACACCGCTGCAGCGAGACAAGACCCCCCTCACCCAGAAGGAGAACTCAGTGTAAGCAATGGAATCTGGTGATTGTGCTCGGACTGCATATTCCATACACAGATAAGCGTGACCAACATTTTTTTCCTTCTTCTTCTTCAGATTTGTTACACCTAACCACAAATCGGAGCTGAGCACAACCCCACGGACGCCGACGCCGTTCAAAAATGCCATGGAAAAGTACGGCCCCCTGCAGCCTCTGGTGAGCGCCGCTCTGAGGCTCCAGAAACCGTTACCTCCTTGTTTTAGAGTTTACCTTCACTTCCCGCTTTGCCTTCTCAGCCTCAGACTCCGAACCTCGAAGACGACATCAACGAGGTCATCCTGAGAGAAGCAGGCATTAACATGGTTGTCGTCCAGGCAACGCCACCTGATCCCCGTCGCAAAACAATGGTGAGAACCAAACAAAGTCTTGGAGGCTTAGTACTGGGGCTGCACCCATAAATCAGCCATGATTTCCTAAATTTTGGGTGACCTTTCAAAAGAAACGGATTTATTTTTTTTCCCACCGATGCTCATTTCTTTTATTTGTGTTTTGACCTCAGCACCGCCCTCCTATGAAGAAAGTTCGGAAGTCCCTGGCTCTAGATGTAATGGACTGCCAGGTGGTGCCAACATCCAAGCGCAAATCCAGCAAAGCGGAGGCCAAACGCAGCATCAAGGTGGAGTAGTAATGGATGGAACGATGGCTTCCCTGCAGAACGAGCGCCCTTAAACACTGAGCTTTCCGTCTCTCCTTCTTGGTCGCAGGAAGAACCGGTGACGGTTTGTCTCAACTCCTCATCGTTTTGCATCAAGAGGCATGAAAACATATTAGACCAGGGCTTCCTGTTGGGACCGAGCGACACAACCATATTTCCCAGTGCAGCACCTCCTGCACCTGTAGGTTCCTGTAGTTTTCGAATTGAGAACATTAAAAAAAATCTCATTTTTCATATTTGTATATGTTTTATTATTTCCAGATGTCAAAAGAATGGAAGAAGGTGGTTTGTGGGCAAACTAAAGACCAGCTCATAATGACGGAGAAGGCGAGACGCTACCTCCGCTCTCTGAAGAGCCATCCACCCAGCCGGGCTCTGATTCTGTCCTGAGATCCTTCTGCCTCCCTGGAAAACAAAGAAACGACAAACAAGACACCGACAGTTAAAATGACTCATGTTGCAGTGGTGCTTTACTTCCCATTATTGTTGATCATACTTGTTAGAAAAGAACAGTGATTGTAAGAGTAACGAATCAGTGAACAGTAAGGGTTTTACATGGCATAATGTATCTGAAATGTAGCCATTTTTTGTAACATTGTGAACTACAAACACTCAGGTAGAGTTTCCATATCTAGTCATCATATGGAGAAGATCTAGATGTCAATGGTAGGCTGAGGGATCATGTGGTTTTTAGGTTTCCCCACCGCAAGGGGAGGAACCAACATGTTGCAAAGTTACATGAATAACCCGTAAATAAAGTTGGCCCACTACCTTGTTTTATTAAGAAAAAAATGGTTCAGCCTGTTAAATTTTATGCAAGAGTCATAAAGTAGAGAACTTCACTTAGCACTGTTTAAAAGGTTGATGGGTTGTAAGGCACTCTTTGTAAATATATTTAGGCTAATATGTTTTACTCTTGTGACCGTTTCACAAGTTGAATAAAAACAAATGTATGTTCTGCACCTGTTTGGCTCTTTTTTTGCTGTTTGACCTCATAGGACTCAAAGCAAACGAAGGCTATTTGTTTAGAAATTAAATTAGAAAAGAAGATGAGACGTAAATAAAATAGATATTTTCCAGCTAGGTGCGGTTTTTTCTTCTTTGAGTTCTGATATTACGAATGTACGATCGATCATGAACAGACTAAGAAAAAATACATAAATAAAAAGGAATGCTGTGCTGCCTACGAATCTGTACCTGTGTATTGGTTGTATAATTGCACATACCTAATCTTTTAACACATCAACATCAAAATATTGGTAGTAGGACTTTAAAACGACTGTGCAAACGACAGAGTATTTCAAAGAAAGAACCATGGGCTTTACGAGTAGGTCACGTCATATCGATATTTTTACGACTTTTTTCAGGTAATGCGTCTCCCTATTATTTTTGATTTTTGAAAAGTATCTTTGTCGGGTCCTAATACTCTCTCGAACATAAAATCCAAAATGGATATTGACATGTTTAAAGTAATGACGTGATTTTGAGGCTTTTGTAAAATTTGGATATAAATCACAAACTGTTTTGCATGCTTTAATGCTTTTATTTTGAAACCAACCATTGGAGACGGAAGTTATCCGTAACCTGACAGGTTTCTCTTTGGGACACCGGAAGCAATCGTGCGTTTGGTGACGCTGCATTAGACTGCAAGACATGATTCAGACCAGTGAGTATATTCAAATAATTAATGTAACATTTTGTGCTACTGATTCGTATTGTTCATTCAATTTATATTATAAATGAATATTTAACTATATAATTAGATGAAAAAGCCTCTTGCTGCACGCGCTGCGGTGCTTCCTGTCGAGGTTAGCCTGTTCTGCTCTTAGCTAACCCTTTCAGTCAGCGCGAGACTTATCTGAATTGAATGAATGAATAAATGAATGAATGAATAAAATATATAGTTATGTGTATGTGTCTTTTCTATGTAATGTAATAATGAAGCATGCGCTCAGGCCAAGCGGTGGGCTTGCTAACTTCGGCTGTGTGTCCGCAGAGCTATTCGGGGTTCTCCTCCTCAGCCTGGCTCTTGCTGGAGCTCAGGCTCTCACACCGTCTCACCACCTGTCCCTGTCTGATGTGGGCCGGCTCCAGAATCTTCTGAACCAACCGTACGACGACCTGGAGTCCGCATACTACTCTGTGGTTGGGCTCACCAAGCTCGGAGCAGCTGTTCCGGATCCTGCAGTAAGATATTCACCGCTTCTGGTTCTGAGCAAAAACTATTCATCTCACCGACGATTCCGTTCATTATGTGTTGTCCTACATGGGGTTATCTTTATAAATCTGTTTTGCAGGAAGTTTGCCAGTTCCTGAAATCCCAGCTGGATCCCGGTAGTGTTGATTCTCTGTTTTTTGCTGCTGAAACCAGTAAGGCCATTTCAGGATGTGAGGTATGAACTATTATCCTGCTCATTTACATTCCCCACACTAGTTTATTCATAGTTTTGTTGACCACAGAACATGGATAAATAAAAGCCAATAAAAGGAAGAAATTGTCATTTTTAAAGACAAAACGGTCACTACAGAAGATTGACAATATAAAGAGCATTAACAAAATTTCCACTTCAATTCAAATATACTTTATTTATCCTTAAAGGAAACTGAATGTTGTCGTAACTTGTATCTTCAAAGTTGTTGGGGATGGTATTGCTGTGGGTAGGAAGGATCTCCAGTGGCAGTCAGTCTGTGACACATCTAATGAGGCCTCTGACTGAACACTGTTGCTGTGACATGCTAACAGCTTTAACTGCTAATAAAAAAAAACAAACAAAAAATACAAACACTAAATGTCATTTAAGATCCATGAAGAAAACGTATACAAAGAAACCCATATAATTGATCAGATTTTCATTATTAGTACTGATTATATTTTGACAATTTTTTTACACAGCAGGATTGAACAGCATAGGAAGTGTTCTATGTCTTACATTTAATGCAGTGGAAATAACACTGGCCCTTTTTTTTAGATCCCTGTTTCCAATGAAACCAGGGACATCCTCCTGGCAGCGGTCAGCGAGGACTCGTCCATGTCTCAGATCCACCGGGCAGTGGGCGCTCTCAGCTCCTTGGGGCTCCCGCTCGCTTCACAGGAAGTGGTCGGTGCCCTCACGGCGCGTATCAACAAGGAGGACAACGTCATGGCGTAAGTGAAACGTGGAATCGGTTCGATCAGCAGCTCCTCTGAACACTACCTTACTCCACATGTTTGTGTGCAGCATCATCTCGGCCCTGCAGGCCGCATCCCGCCTGTCCCAGCAGGCAGAACTGGGAGGAATCCTGGAGGAGATTGAGGTGATTCTCCCAGCCTCCACTAGGTGGTGCCGTATTGCCGCTGTGGAATCTGTTTGAGAGGTTTGTGTTTTCTCTCTCAGGATCTGACAGCTCGCCTGGACGACCTGGGAGGCGTGTACCTGCAGTTTGAGGAGGGGCTGGAGGCCACTGCCCTGTTTGTGGCGGCGGCGTACGGCTTGTCGGACCACGTGGATATGGAGCCGCCTCTCAAGGAGGTAGGAGTTCTCGCATCTTCCCAGCTTTTCCTCTGATACCCCTGTAAGTAAGCCTGTCGTAATAACCAATAAATCAATTAGTTCCATGATCCAGCTCAGTAATTTCCATTAGAATGATTTATCACTTTTTCTTTTCTCTCTTTCAACCAAAAACTGGATGATAAAACTTTTCGGTTTAGTGATTGGGTCTCAACTAGAACATTTTTTGAAGGACAATTTTATTTACAGAGACTTCATAATTCATTTTATTTATTGTTTATTTTGCATATTTAAAATGTCTCCCAGTTTCAGTGTTGAATGTTGATTAGAATTTAAAGTTTATTGATCTTTGAGAATGTGTTATTGCATTATGATGCCATTACTGTTATATTGCTAGAAAATTGTCTCAAAACAACAATATTGTCATTTATCGCTGCAACTTAGCCAAATCTGCCTACCTGAAAACCCTTTCTCTCCCTTCAGGACCAGGTCATCCAGCTGGTCAACTCCATCTTCAGTAAGAAGTCATGGGACTCTCTGTCCGAGGCGTTCAGCGTGGCGAGCGCCGCTGCTGCCCTGTCCAACAACCGCTTCCACGTCCCCGTGGTGGTCAGCGCTCAGGGCCCGGCCACCGTGTCCCACAACCAGCCGACCCTGCAGGTACGCCCACTAGCCGCATCCTGCCACAACCACTCCACTAAAGAACAGCTTTTTCCCAATCTGTTCACCCTCCTTCCTCTCTGCCCCCCTGCAAACACACCACACCCTTATGTTGCACCCTACAGACTGTTTAAGACTTTCTTTATTTTTTTATTTATCACTGAGGACACCACTCCAATGTCATTATGTTCTTGAAACATAAAGCAAATATAATCTTATGTCTGTAACGCCATCACGGTGGTGATGTCATGGCTCTGGGTGTTTTATTCCAGCTCCTGGTCACTGACGTCATGTCCCAGCCTCTGGCCTCAGCCAGCGTTCTGGTGGAGTCTGCATACGCTGTGGCCTCCAAGACCGCCGTTCTCAACCAGGCACCGTTCACTCATAATGAGTAAGTATGACGGAGGTGACCTCACAGGAGGAGGAAAGTGGCTGAGGAAGGAGAGAAAGAAACTGTATTATTGCTAAGCCTTAAAAGTTTAAAATAAAAAAAAAATGATCAAGATTAACAGATATATTATTTCCTAGGGTTTCCCCTAGGAACTTGGCCTTGGGGGTGACATGGAGAGGGATTTTTAGAGGTGCACAGATTGATCAGCCTGATTTCTTTAATTTTGGGTGAAGCATTATCAGTCGATACTTGCATATGGAACCAATTTTACTCCACTAGATACTAGGATACCTGTAGCGGTGCATTTGCACTAAGTTTTCCTGTGAAAGTGTAGTGCGAATGCTTTCAGCTGAAGAGAGGAACTCAAATTAGCTAAAAAGCTAAAGTGAAGCAACAATCCTTACAGGGTTTTACAATGAAGCTGATAAGTGACTTAGATATGAGTAGGCCTTTCACAAGAAATCAATAAATCACATAATGAATGATTATTCAATTACTCATTAAGCAGAATCAGTGACAAATTTAATAATTTCCAACTGCATAATTTATCATTTCACCCTTTCTTCTCTTTCAAACAAAAATTGGATGATAAGTCTTCAGTCTGGTGTTTTGGTCTCAACTAGAACTTTCTTTTTGAAGGAGAATTTTGTTTGCGGCAACTTCATAATTAATTTTATTTGTTGTTTTGTTTACTTATTTTGGATATTTAAAATGTCTTCCAGTTCCAGTGTAAAATGTTCATTAGAATTTAAAGTTTATTGATCTTCGAGAATGTGTTCTTGCATCATTATGCCATTACTCTATTACTTGCAAATGGTTTCAAAACACTAATATTATCCCTTATCACAATAACTTCTGGGACAATTCATCATCCAGCAAAAGTTGTTGATGTGACAGGGGTAGTTCTGAGTGGAAATAATAGTTTTAACTGCTGATTCTAGCTTTAATTTTATGAAAATGTTCAAATGTTTTCTCCTTTGAACATACCTAACTGCCTCTGGACTCAGTTACAGTTTGAATGTTAGCCTTTAACTAACCTAATGCCGAAGTAGCTGTGCCAAAAGCAGGAACCTATAGAAAATATGTTCTAAATGAGAAAATTAAGAAAAAAAGTTAAAGTTCTAAATGCCAAAAGTCATGGAGTAATCATGTCCTAAAAATGGTAAATATTTTGAAATCTGAAAAAAAAAAAAAATAAACACAGTGAGGTCATTCGAGTTGTGTGAATGCATTGATGCCAATGCTGCAAAAATATATAGAACTGCAATATGACTTGTTATGATGAGCACAAATTAATAAGGAGAAATTATTTTCAATTTAATGGCAATATTTAACAACATCAAGATATGTTTTTGCAATATCGTGCAATGCTAATCCACAACAAGAATACCTGATTACCAATTCCCAAAGCTAATGCAGCTCTGGTTTCCTCCATGTTCTGCCTTAATAACTATGAATCCCATATGGGTGTGGGCAGCAGTCCTGCTGATCACTTACTGTGTTGTTCTTTTCTCCTGTTTTTAGTGGCGTCTTTGAACTGAATTTCATGTCCAGCCAGCCGGCCAGTGGATATTACCAGTTCACTATTGGTGTGACTGGGGACAGCCGACTGGTGGCCAATCACATTGAGGTACGAATAGTTTCACTAACTAGCCATGTTTAGGTCAAGTGTAGGCGACTATAAACTACTTCTCTGCTTGTGGAACTTTGCTTACCTCCACATTTGATTAGTTAATAGTTGATTGATTAATTAGATTCCAGTGATTAATCTCCATATTTAATTTGAATATAAGTGTTAAATATTGGCATGCTTACTCATAATTCCTGTTCTATGGGGCATGGAATGCTAGCTAAAATGTCTGTTCAGATGCTTTAATGTTGGCAAACATGCCATGACTGTCAAAATGTACGAGAAGATGCCATCTTGGATTTTAAAGTGTTCACTATTTTCTACTCTGAAGTTTTTTTTTCTAATTTTCATTATGTCAGAAGAATAAGGAAAGTTCCAGAAACCTTTTGACATTTTTATTTTACTTTTACTTGTAAATCTCATTCAAACAAAGGGTTTCATTTTTCAAGAGCAACCAGTTTGAAATATACATACAAAACAATCTAAAACATAATACAGTCAAGTAACTAAAAAAGTACAACTCAAAATAAAAAAAGACCATAGCTGTAAAACATTAGGAACTGAAGCAATATTGCTAATTTGATAATCCGAGACTGAATCATTCTGTTTGTTAGCGTTGCATAGTGGGTATTTTTTTCGTATTATAGCAGCTTCTTTTGCTGTTTGGTTTTGGACACCACCAAAGTGAGTCTCGGCTGGTTAAATAGAAGTGAGCAAAAATGTACATATTTAAATCCAGTGTGGCACATTTTCCTTAATCTTTGGGTCAAAACCAACCAATATGTGAAATTTTTATTCTGCGAAAAAAGATAAATTCTTGTACTTTGGATCTCCGCTGTGATGGGTTGAGGACGGCAGATGACATGAACAGGAACATTTCATCCAGATTGATTTAGGCAGTAATGAACAAGCAAAGATGCACAGTGTATTCACATTGTTTTCTAAACCTGGAACAAAACCTCTGAATAATAAGAACAATTATGTATAATCATGTTTATTTTTGACAAAGCTTTTATGTAGAAATTGTTAAAAGGAATCAGCCTTTTACATTTAGTGTTGATTACTGGCATTGTGTCCTGTATTCATTCCACACAGATGCTGGTCGTTTTTAAGGTTAATCAGAATTACTGTCATTGAAAGTTTTATAATAACTATTCTATTGTTGGCTAAGGCAAAAAAGATACAAATATCTAATCACAGTTGTATAATTGTGATGGCGTTAGAGAAATGCACAGATCTTCTTGTCTGGCCAGTACTAGATTTCAGATATATTTGATAATTAGTTTCCAATTTTGACCAATGCCATTCTGATTCTTTTTAATACTATTTCCTTTTTATTAAACATATATTTGTTTACCCGTGACCAAGTCTTCTATTACAGGCAAATGCAAAATGGAAAACTTTAAGTTTATTAGAAAGATAAAAATTAACAAGGATAACTTTGCAATCCCTTTATTTTCTGTTGAGTTCATCCAATGAGGAATTCATGATTAATGTTTGTAATATTTACCTGTTGAATAAAGAGAAAACTGGAATGATCAGAGCTGAATTTAAACAGCTTCTCTCTATATATGACTCCATCAAAAAGACCTCCAAATCAAACCCACACACTGACCCCTAAAACACACACACTGACCCCTACAAACACACACACTCCAGAACTAGTCTAATAATAGCCACAGCTGCTTGACTCAGCGGCGTGCTGCGTGTGTTAGTGTCTGCTTGGA